CCCCTTAGCTGTTATAAATTCACTGTAAACCACGGCTTCACGGGGCTTATTGCTTTTATAAAACGGTTATTCCATATACGTAGTAAGGTTTCACAAAATAAAACAGAGCAAATAAAGTGTAATGATATAAATAAAAACATTATTCTTTCACCAAACAATGTAGCTCCTCAGAAACAGTTGTAGTTCCAACAAAGTGGTTGCCGAGCAACACACAGAAGTAAACAAAGGTGTGTGTTTGTAGAGTAATTTACAACAGGTTTCTCCGTTTTATAATGTCGTATCAGTGTGTCATTACATGACTGTATTTCGTATGTGTTCAGTGATTTCTCACTCTTCTGTCTGTGCTGCAGGTGATCCGGATGTGATTCTCAGATGTATTGTGTCTGGTTTTTTTGCAAATGCCGCCCGAATGCATCACTCCGGCTCCTACAGGTCGGTTGACTGTTCCCGCCATAAATGTGTCTTTTGCAGTGTTGGGGAAAGTTACTGTTAAAAGTAATGCATTACAATATTGAGTTACTCCCTAAGAAAGTAACTAATTGCGTTACTTAGTTTATTTTTATGGAAAGTTATGTGTTAATTTACTTTTGGGTTACTTTTTCCTCATCTGTGCTGGGCTTGCTTGTTTATTTTTAATATAAAAAGTTCTATTTTTGGCTAACAGAAAAGCCCTTTCACACCAGAAGTGAAATGAATCCGCCTCAAGCTGAAGGAAATGGAAATTCACGTCTCTAGTAGAGGGCGCAGCTCAAACAAACCTTTCATGGATTTATATATATTTATATCAAGACATTTTTGCATATTAGTGTAGTTGAATTGGATCATTGAAGGTCAGCAGCAAATACATTGGTTAATAAAATTGGATTAAATGCATAAAGGATTTTTGTTATTTAACATATTTAATTATTGCAGGTTTGCGTCATATTCTGAGTTTGCGTTTCACTGTTTTTATTCATTTTGAGGAACACTAAATCTGTTTTTGTGCTGTAAGATGAGTAAATACATGTTTTATTTATATTTATATATAAATAAATATGTATATAATATTTTAAATAAATATAACAAATGTTGTATATTAAATATGATAAATAAATAAATATTTTAAATATAAATAAAATATTTTATAAATATTTATATAATAAGGACAACACACATTAATCAACATTTCTGTAAATGTGCCAGTGTTAGCCAGCCAGCTAATGTTCAGCTGCAGTCCTTTGGCAAGATGTCTCAGAGCCCTTCAAAATATCAAGAAGAATAAACAAAAAAACAAGAAGACATCAGTACGCTAATACAATAACAACAATCAACACAATTAGCCATGCAAGCACTAGGGGTGTGCGATATTGACAAAAAATTATATCTCGATATTTTCTGGGATTTTATCGATAACGATAATTAGACGATATTTTGGTGAGTGTGTTATTGTGCCGGTAATATGAAGTGGTATAAATATATACATTTTCTGCCATCATGTCTTGAATTTGTGATCATTCTAAATGTATTTTAATAGACTGAATCATGCAGTGAAAGAACACACTAAATGCGCACACGCACTAGTCTAGACTTCACGTAATGTATGCGTGCGCTCTGTAGGGATGTTTTGAATGGTTTTTGCAAAATACTCGATAATGTCAAATCGCACATCTTTAAACAACAATTACGATATTATCGCAGACGATATATATCGCACACCCCTAGCAAGCACACGTATCAGTAGGTGTGTGTGCAGGCATGCTGGACAAATATTAACCATACATAAAGCACAATTATGGGTTAATAAAATAACACGCACCTAAATCAGTCGACACATGAGAAGCAAAGTAACTGGTGTTACTTATTTGAAAAATATATTTTCCTGTAAAAATAGTAAAAGTAATGCGTTACTTTACTAGTTACTTGAAAAAGTAATCTGATTCCACATCTCGCGTTTCCCCCAACACTGCTCTTTTGTTTGTGGCTAATCGTCCTCTAATGTTGTTGATTGTCCAGGACTCTCCGTGATGACAGGGAACTGTTCATTCACCCTGATTCGGTGCTGTATGGAGAAAAGCCCCCAAAATGGTACTTATATAAACCCAGGGGAATTAATGGTGCTTATTCCATTTAGTTTGTTGGTTTTTCACTGAATACTAACTGAACTCTTTGTTTGGGGACGCGGCGCAGGGTGGTCTTCAACGAGGTGGTTCAGACCAGCAAGTACTACATGCGTGACGTGACGGCGGTCGAGTCCTCCTGGCTGGTGGAGCTGGCGCCTCACTTCTATAAACAGGCCAAGGTGAGAGCGACACAAACCACACAGCATTTACAGGCAGATGAGCTGATCTAGACGCCTCTCCTCTGTCGGGAGTAGTGTTGTCACGGTACCAACATTTCAGTATTCGGTACCAATACCAGTGAAAATCCACGGTTCTCGGTACCAATTTCGGTACCAAAGCAAAACACAAAAACATTCTAATTAAAAAATGTGACTATACTTTCATTTAATCCAAACTGTGGGATTTAAAAAAACCTAGAGTTATTCAGCCAAAAATAACAACTAAGTTAGCTAAAAAAAAAAAAGCCCAGAACTTCTGACTGATATGACACAAACATGTTAACCATTTGCACATTCTCTAACACGCATATTTTAGATTCACAATTCATTTAAAAGCCTCTGGTGTGTAAAAATAGTAAATATCATCATGTCCTCCTGTTTTTTTTACCCTAATAAAAGTTATCAGAGCATTAAATAGTTAATAAAGAAACTTAATTCTAATGCTCATTACATTAGTGTTAGCCGCGCTTATGCTAACGATTAACTACTCTAATAACAGCGTTCATTTCAATCCGACATTCAAATTAAAATGTTTTTATATTGTTTGTCAGCACACATAGCCTAAGTTACTATGAATGTGGATCAACTAGCCGAGTAGACAAATATGAATGTTTATTCATAACCATGCTGAAAAGTCAATGTTAACTGATGCTAACTGTCTAGCAAACGAGCTTGCTGGTGCTAAATTGAGGTAATTTTTTAAAAATAAAGTCCAAATATTTTTATTCAACCACCTAGATAGATTACATCTGAGGGAAAAAGAAAGGATGTGATGTATAAAATTAAATGATAAAAGTAGCCTATATAAAACTGCAAAATAAACATCCATCTATCTGTACTTTTTACTTAAGTACATACAAAATCAATTACTTTCGTCCTTTCACTCGAGTAAAATTGAAAACGGAGTACTTTAACTGGAGTAATATTTTATTATACGGATCTGTACTGTACATTGTGTAATTCGTCCACCACTGCTAACGATTAACTACTCTAATAACAGCAATGTTCATTTCAATCCGACATTCAAATTAAAATATTGAATAAGGTTCATAACAGAAGCGGTGTTTCCCTCAGACTTGCACTCTATTTGTGGCGGCATATATATGCAAATTCATTCTCTGCCAGCAGGAGGCGCTTGTAGAGCGGGAGAGATCAGGTTTCCCCGGTAACGGCTGTAATCAAATAAGCGCTGCGCTCACAAACGCTGCTCAGGCATTACAGGCAAGATGAAATGAGAATGACATCCATAATTTTCTGAAGACAGTCGTTTCCTTCAGAAATACAGTGATATAAAAACACCCGCACCGGGTTTCGACTTTGACACGTGCAGTGCTCATGTTTATTCAACAAAGTCAAAGGCGGGCGCCACAAATAACTCAATGTATGGGAAACACTGATCTAAATATAAAAAATTAAAATGAAAATCCTTAATCATGTTTGTTTATAAATGTTTAAAAAATTGTTTAAAATGTCTGCTCACCAAAGCTGCATTTATTTGATCAAAAACACAATAAAAACAGTAATATTATAAAATAGTATAACAATTTAAAATAACAGTTTTCTATATATGTTAAACTGTAATTTATTCCTGTGATCAAAGCTGAATTTCCAGCATCATTGCTCCAGTCTTCAGTGTCACATGATCTTCAGAAATCACCCTAATATGCTGCTCGAGAAACATTTCTGATTATTATCAATGTTGTGTATTTTTGTGCAAAAAAGTTTTTTTTTTAAAGATCCTTTGTTGGACTGAAAACGCACTTATATTCCATTCATGTAGTACTGTCAAACGATTAATCGCATCCAAAATACAAGTTTTTGTTTACATGTCACATGATCTTCAGAAATCACCCTAATATGCTGCTCGAGAAACATTTCTGATTATTATCAATGTTGTGTATTTTTGTGCAAAAAAGTTTTTTTTTTAAAGATCCTTTGTTGATTGAGAACTTCAAAAGAACAGCATTTATCTGAAATAGAAATTGTTTGTAACATTATAAATATCTACACAGTTGCTTCTGATTAATTGAATGCATCCTTGCCGAATTTAAAGTATTAATTTCCCCCTGAAAAACATTATCACCTTTAAAGTTTAAATTAAAAACTGGTTTTACTGAATCATTTATACAAATGCTTCAACAAAAATACAAGCCAATTCCTTTCATTACAAAATCAATGAACCTCACTAGTCATATTTGCTCTTTGCTACAGTTAAATACGTTTTGGTTGTTGTTGATGTCACACAAAAATATATTAACATGGCTTTTTTATACAAAAACAGACTAATAGTGCCTTTAAAAAATGGCTTTTTTCCCCCACCTCTGCTTCTCTGATTTGTCTAATAGCACGGGTCTCTGAACAGCAAGCGGGCCAAAGTCTTCTGAGCTCAGCTACATCCACACTTCCAGGTTTTTGCTGAACAGCTGGCCATAGATAGAGGAAGATCTTAAGGAACCGCTCCTCTAAAACTAAAGGAACTATTAAGTACACACATGCACACTTTAGTGTTTATTGCAGCTGGAAGGCAAAAGGAACAGTGTGGTATTTTGTATATACAAATGTATGTGATACATTTATGCGGTCATGGTCATCTTTGTATTATTTAACAGCCATTGGAATAACTTGACTGTGATTTTGTTGTTTACTGTTTGAGAGTGAGAGAATGACTGGATGGATGGATGGATAGATATTGATGATTTACAGCTTTACAACATCGCACGAAGCCCTACCCTCAACAGTAACCATAATATTACTATAATAAGCTACTTTGTACCAGTTATTTCAAACCCTCATGGGAGAAATACTGTGTAGCTCAAACGTAGTGGCCTTTTAACCATTATGTGCCAAATATTATAAATCCGTAGAACATTTCCTGATGTATGTGGAATGTGAAATGAATTGTAGTTACACTGTCAGCATGAGACAAAAAAGTGCCATTTTTTAATATTATATATATATAGGTCCCCATAAAGTAGCCTTGTTATGCACCTCTGGCCTAAAAACTGTGTTATTAGGTGTAATTATTCATTTCATAGTGTAGTGTAAGATCTCATTTAGGAAAGATCAGCCATGACTTGTTCAGTGTGGTGAGTGAATAGCACAGCGAATGAGACGCCTCAGGGAGGAGCTTCTTTCTTATTAAAGTAAATGGGGTGCTAACTGTGGATATGGCAACCCTTCTCAGGCCACGCCTCTTCTGGGCGTGGCGTTTAATAGGAAGGCTGAGGTGCCAATCATGTGGGTGGAGGCGGAGCCTCTGTCATAATGTGATGTTTTGACAACGTTTGTGATGTTTTAGTTTTACTGTGACATGTTGGTCCCTGCATAGTTTATTATATCCCAAAAAATTTAATTAAAATCTACATTCAAGGTTACTTCTGTAACATTATTACCAAATGTCTTCAAGACAACACACATGGTTATAGAGTATATGTAGTCGGTAGCCTTGAGTAGTGTAGATTTAGCTGCTGACAGAGTCCTGTGCAGTCTTATTGATAGCAGTTTAAACGTTCTTGCATGTCTTTAAACAATACAGATCTCACGAAGTTTCACAGCAGTGCGGTTATTTGTGGAGGAAATCAAATAATCATACCTTACTCTGACTCTGTCCAGATGTGCTGCTCCAGAGCTCTGTGTGGCAGAGAGTCAAATAAAGTCTGATGTTCACTGTAAAAACACGTGTCGAGTCTCTACTGAGGTCTGTTTTACATAGAATAAAGAAGGAAACTGGAAAACTATGCGGTTTGGATTTGTATAAAAGTGTCCATGTGATGCTGGTAAATATTAAAACTGCTTCATGTTTTAGGACTTGACACTCAAATACAGGCTACAAATAATAGCAAAGATATCGAACTACATGTTATGATTAAAACAAGTGTGTGATTGACCAGAAGGTGTCAGTGTTGGTCAGAGAAATACATTCAGTCTGACTCAGAAACATTTCATCAGATTATGAACTATTCTCTTGTCTAGCATGTGCTAATACATGTGCACATCTGAAATAACCATATTACAGTCTTTTGGAGACACTTTGAGGTCAGCAGGAGGTTTGGGGTTAGTAGGAATCTTTTTGTTTGTTTTGAAAGAAGTCTGTTATGCTCACCAATTAATTTTTTTGTTAAAAGCAGTAATATTGCAAACTATTATTACATTTAAAAAATAACTGTCTCCTATTTGATCACTGCTGTAAGTATAAATGGCTTAATGAACTCCATATATATATGAATATATATATATATATATATATATATATATATATATATATATATACAGTATATCATTTATATCATTTATATGGCTCATATTTTATGATCTAGCCAGAATATGGAGCTCATTCTCAAGGTGGAAAAAAAAAAAATATTTATAGGACCAACTGACAAGACAAGTTATGTTATACCGATATAGCAGTCTGTTAATACATGTAATTAGTAATCATTTCAGTTCTTCACAACATGTGTGTTTGTTACTTTAATAGAGCTGTTCTGTTTCTGTGTGCTCAGGTAACTATGAGAGCCTGACTCCACAGGTGGCGTTCATGTTTAATAAAGCTG